ACCGCTACAGCTCCCCCCCCCCCCACACCTGCATCTCTGAAACTGTGCGGCAATGTGCAGTTTAACAGACTTCCTGGGAAGACCTTCAGAGACGTACTGTACAATAAAATCATGTTTATATGAAATACACTCAAAAATTTTACACAGATATTTGAATGAGGGTCAAATACAGCTGGAATCAGTAAATATATATACTGTAGATTCTGTCAGCATATAGTTTAAATTTGTAAAAAAAAAATACATTTTGGTTGCTAAATAGAACAATAATGGATCTTTTACCATTTTCATTAAAAATATATCTTTTTTACTCATTAAGTGTTATCCCTGTTTTGTCTTCTGGATTAAATTTCAGCCTGTGTAAAGAAAGTACTCATACATTCCCCTAATGCTCAACACAGCAAATTTACTGAAAGGTATACTGTATTTAAAATAAAAATTGTACTTTGAAAAGTCTGTAAAATATGTTCTCATGTTTAATGCAGTCATTACTCACTAAAAGGTCACTGTAGCATTTCTTCCTAGTAAATCACAGGTGCATTGTGGGTGATGATTCTGTACTGAAATAGAATAACACAGGGTGCAGTTTCCTCTCCCCTCCCCACACCTGCATCTCTGAAACTATCTAACAACCAGCATGCAGTGTGACAGACTTCCTGGAAAGACCAGTTTTGTAATCCAGTAATATTAAATAAAATGAAATATTAATATTAAATTATTGGGGCGTATAAAAGGGCACGTAGGTGGTGGGTAAAATTTGAATTCCTGATTATGATTTGGATCTTATTGCTAAATTGTCCACATCCCTCTGTTATCTGTTACTCAGTTGACACTTTTAAACAGACCTGTTTAGTACTGAGGGCCTCACCATTAGTCTGTCAGCTTTCTGATTTGCACTAAAGTCACTGCCCTCCCACCAGCAATGGGAGGCTCTATATTTACATGTAACTTTCACTGCTATTTGCCTGAGGGGGCACAAAAAGCCCCCCTGGGATCATTACTGACAGGTGTGCTTTCTTTCTGAGTGGAGGGGCAGCTAAAAATACTCAGATTGTTTGTATTGGGTAAACTGTTCATTGGGGGTGGGGAAGAAAAGCTAAAGAGGTGAGGAATGTACCTACTAAAAGTGCACATTATATACTTTTAGTATATTTATATAATCTTATTGTTTCAGTATATCTTATTTCCTACATATACACTACATAGACAAAAGTATAGGGACACTTGGCCATTACACCTACAGAACATAAGAACTATACAAACGAGAGGAGGCCATTCGGCCCATCGAGCTCACTTGGGGAGAACTTAACTAATAGCTCAGAGTTGTTAAAATCTTATCTAGCTCTGATTTAAAGGAACCCATGGATTCAGCTTGCACTACCTTATCAGGAAGACTATTCCATACTCTGACTACACGCTGTGTAAAGAAGTG